ATGTTGTGAATATCACTGTGGAAACTATAGTGAAACTTTTCTTCAGAAAAAAAAATTCTTTAAAATGTTTATTTGGCTCTGAGTAATTACAAATTTCTTAGATAATAAATAATAAACTACAACACAACCATGGTACTTTAGTCTGTTATCTATTCTTTCCACCCAGAACTACCATTTCATAAGGCAAATGTGTGTTACTTCATTTCTCCACTGAGCCCTTCTATAGTCTCTTACTTCCCTCGTGAGACCAGAATCTATCTTCAACTTTAATGGATACACAGGCCTGATTCTAATGTCATCTTCTGTTTCAATATGTCACAGATCCATTTATTAACTATGACCCCAGTTTGCCATGCATATGCCTACCACAGGGCTAATGGCCAGAATGTCATTTCTGAGGGACCATCTGAACCTTTCCTCTCTCCTCTTGGTAAGTAAGGGGTGTTCCACCTTCTTACACCACTTCAATCCTCATTATTCAGGAAATTACAGTGGCCTCCTCATCTGAGTTTTCCTAATATAAACAATATAGACACCTCTGAGTTCTCTAACATTGACAATATTGGCATCCTATAACTCTCCTTAGCACCATAGGATATGGTGCAAATCTGAACATGATGACCACTTTAAGGTTTTCTTTCTCAGTGAATCAGCTGTAACCCCCAGGAGTTATGTTCCCAAACTAAACTCTTTGGGGGACAATTGAGTCCCCTAGAGCTTAGTTCAGGTCTTAAAATAGTTACTGATCAGAAAATATTTGCATGAGCACACAACAGTTTGTTTCATTTATCAAATTAATTAATAATATTGATCAATTAATAAATAATAATATTATTAAATAATATCATACACACAGCAGTTCAGAAATATTGAGTAAGTTGATAAGTACATGAATAAATGAACGTTGAATTATCTGAATGAATTAGCTGCTTGTGAATTTGAAGGTCATTTATCATATTAGTATGACTTTTGCAGCCATGTATGTACTGTTATAGCATTATTTTCTTCCAGAGAGAGTTGAAACGATAAGCTGACTTGTATTATTAACTTACAATTAACAGTGACTTTTCTTACTTACCTACAATAATATCAGAATGTGTAAAATGAAATAAAATGCACAATGCTTGCCAAAGGCCAACCCAAACTGTTCAGAGAATGCCCTGTCCCTGACCCCATTTTATACAGGAGTTTCTTGGTGTTTAAACAGATGAAGATTGTGAGGGACCCCAAGTTATACCATCCATGCTTCATCTGTGGCACCAGCTGAAGATGCTGAATCTTAGCTCATAGTTCTTCTGTTTTACTGCATGTTTCACAATAATATTCCACTGAATATCTTTTTATATTTCCCTTTCCTCTTCTACACATGATATGTAGTATAATTTCTATGAGTCCAGCGCTTCCTACCAACAGTACATTTAAACATTTTAGCAGACTACACTATCCATGCTTATACTCACTTACCATGGAGTAAGTAGCCTATCATGCAATGTTTTCAACATCCTGTCTGCCTAACCTAAAAAGAAGGGTAAGCAAGCATTATATTTCATGTACTTTAAAGAGTCACTATGGGTCTATTCAAGAAAAGATTTTTAAATTTATTTATTAGCTGGTTTGAATTATACCTCTAGAGAAAGCTATAAAATACCCCAATTTCAACATAGTTGATCCAGAGAATAAATCTTTATTGTGGTCCTCAGTGGCATGCTAGGTGTGACAGAAAACTTCTCTGTTTTTCAAGCACGTTTTTACTAAAACTGGGTGATGTAACAATAACCTAAAGTCATTCTAGCCAAAGTTGGGGTTAGAATTTTTCATCTAATAAAACTGGCACCATCATATCATCTCCCTTTCTGCCTTGTATTTGAGGGAGAAGTAAAAATAAAATGAGGAAAGCTCCAAAGTCACTGTTGAAATTGACTGCTGGCCTGCTAAGCTCCTAAGGAGTGTAGGGTAGGGCAAGGACAACCAGAAGGCAGGACAGAAGGTCTGTCTGGTCTATCATGTGTGGAGGTTGTCTTTCCTCTAGACACGTTTCCTCGTCTATAGAGGGGACTTTCTTATTGCAGTCTTTCACCACACTGTATGTGTTTAAGTCATCATTCTGTTTAATGAATTAATTAATTTAATGATTAATTTGCTATGAAATATTTCTAAAGTAAATGTGATAAAACACACTGACAGCATCATTTACACTCTTTGGAAGAACTTTTAAAAGCTCTTGTAAAGATTCGATTTAAAAACTTTTTTTCTATAAAAATGAACAACTGGAATCAGTAGTCTTGAAGGGGAATATTTATTCCAGGTTATGAACTGGAGAGAACCTTAACTGAAGGAAAGGAGTGGTTGGGTGCAGACCAGAGAAATAAATTATGTGTTTCCTTCTTGCTATCTCCAGCTTTGATGCTTACATTCCATTTATTCCTTATAGATATTTTTCTACCCCTCTTCACCTTCAAAGTTTACACTTTCTTTGTCCTTCCTACTTCAGGTTCCTTTGTACAATTTTTTAAAGTAGCCATTAAGCCAGACAATAGGCCTAATTGTGATGACAGGTTCTGAAGGTCATCTTGTCTGGACTGAGTGGACAGTGAGTAAAGCATCCTTCTGAACATTTCCACAGTGCGTTTTCAGAGAAGACTGGCAAATGGATTAGTGCTATGGTTTGGGTAAACATACCAAAGGTTTGTTTGTTGAAGGCTTGATCCAAACTCTTTAGATTTGTTGGAAAGTGATAGATCCTTTAACAGGTAGGGCCTGGTGTGTGCTCTTCATGGAGATGATGGATCCCATCTCCTTCATCTTCCTCTTTTACACCCAGCCCATGAGGTGAGTGGCTTCTTCCACTATATGCTGTTGTTGTGATAGATCCAAAAGCCTCAGAATCAACCAATTATGCATTTGAACATCTAAAATATATGCCGAAGTGAGACTCTTTTCTCTTTGCAAATTATCACAAATAACCTGTTATAGTAATGAAAGGCTAAGAAAGTCAGGAGCTTAATTGTAAAGACTCTCATCAGTGGGGGTTGCACCATCTCATAAACTAGGGCTTGTGACCATGGCCTTCTCAGAGAGGGTAGTCACCTCAGGTGGAGACTACATCATTGGTCTCTTTCTCTTTCCAAAGATTCTATCTTTTCAAACTAAGCTGTTAATGACTTTCTGGATCTCCAGTCTGCATATGTCTATTCTAGAAATTGTATTCTCTATACAAGATTCGCAGAAATCTTGTATAGAGGTTACATGCTATTCATTGTACTTTTCTGAAAACCCTAATATAGAGAAAATAGGTAGTGAGGAGTGAGGCTGCTATTATACCTACACCTAAAGAACTTTTGGGATTGTATAATGGGAAAAGTCTGGTAAAGTTTGGAGTCCCAGGCTAGAAAATGCCAGAAACACTAGAAGTTGGGTGTCACATTGTGGATTTCTCATCCTTAGGGATTTCATGAGATGACCCAGGTATAGTTACAAAGTTATAAGATTATAGTCAGAGACAGAAATCCTAATATTTCAACCTTACACCAGCTAGAATGATTCAATAGCCCTTGAATAGAAATACCTAGGCTCATGAAATGTTTCCTTCTGGTTTCCAGGTTTATAAAGGGAAAACTGAGCGAAAGTTGTGCTTGAAGCACCATTCTGCCCTTGCTGGTAATCACTGTCTTGAATGTTTTTAACCTGAGGCTGAAATTTTGGCAACTTCCTTGTTGTTATATCAAAGCAGCTATAGAATAAAACGATTCTCTAACTGAACTTCTATGGAGAATTTCTAAATGATTAAAATAATTTAGCATAAATTATTAATTATATACAAATACTTCAAGTGACACAAATCATTTATGCAAGAGTTATAGTGAAGAAAAAGGAGTGAAAGTATCATGAAATAAGACCTTTAGAGTCAATGGCAGAGTATTTAAAAATCAAAGGAAAAATAAAACTCCTAAGCACTTGGTTGTAGAGAAAATGTGTCATGTGACAAGGAAATCACTGGGTTTACAAATAGACAGACTGGTCATGGAGAAAATAGTGCCAATTATTTCCTAAATTGCATTTTCTTGCAAACAGGAGATAGATAGAGGGGCTTAAGGCTCAGGCTCAGGACACAAAGGATGTGCTGGAGGTGAATGAGACAATTTAACAGAATAAAAGAAAAAGATTAGCCATTTGAAACCAAAAGAGGAGAAAGCAAAGACAGATCTGAACTATCAGAAGCTATCATCACACTGGACTTTATTAACATGTATAATTTTTATGCGCCAACTAAATATAAATTTAAATTTAATGACTTACAGTCTTTATGCAATCTTAATTTTTGTATTTTCTTTCTTTTTTGACATATATTTTTAATGATGTATGCCTTAGAAGAGAAATGTGTAGTATATTTAATTTTACTAGAATTTCAGGATGAAGAAAACTATAAACGATGTGGCTTGAGAAAATCTCAAAGGGATGTATTTCCAGTTATAACAACAAAAAATCAATAACATCAACTTCTTGATCCTAAGAAAAGAATCCTAGTCTAAGTTATAAAATAACCCTAAAATAAAATATTCTGAAAAGCTGAGTTTTATTTCAACAGCTAGGAATTGACAACCTATATTTCCCCTGTATCTATATACAAGGAATGTGTCTTTTTCCTTTATAAGAATTTATGATTCCAGTATTATTTCAGTGGAGTGAATCTGCCAGGTAAATGTTAAGCTACAGGAAGTCAGGGTCCATGTCTGAATGATTCATTTCTCCAGTCTCAGCACTTAGCCAGTTCCAGGAGCATTGTGAGCCAAAGAAGAGAAAGAGAGTGAGTGAGATACTTGTCCCTCAACCCTGCTGTTCCCTAATTTATGATAAAACTGCCCTCAATCCATGAAAATTGCTTTGACAGATTCCATTTTAGGCTTAGCTTTTCAGTTTTCTCTCTTAACACTTGTCCATTATCATTCTTTCCAGTGGTTGCTTTCTGAGCTTGGGTTTAAACAAACTAATTTACACACGGGGAAAATGGGTGAATGGGAGATTTTATTTTACACAATGAACCATTGTAAGACAAATAACAGCAATACTTCTGATGACAGCTTCTTGAACTATTTCTTGGAAAATGAGACAGGGAATTTAATAATATGAATACAACATTCGGTTTGCAGAGGCTACATCCCTGCAGACAGATGGCTACTATGCAGGTGTAGCAATCCCAAGAGGAATTCACTGATAGAGTTGAAGGGTCCTTTCTTGGACATATGTATCACCAAGTTCATAGTGTTGCTGCCTTCCCACAACAGAAACCACATTCTTTAATCAAAGTAAATTCACTGTGATAATTCTTTAAAAGTGTATGGCAGGCTGAGCACTGTGAATATGGGGACATGTGATTTCCATCCTTTAATGACCCATCAGTTTATATTATCAGCAGTTTCTCTAATGCTCATCTATAGAGGACTCAAGAAGAAATACCAAGACTCTTCCACTTAAGAGAAGACCAGGACTTAATCTTTTGCTTTTAACTGTTCCAGCCTCTTCATTATTTACAGACTTGTAAAACTCAAACAACCAGAGTTATCAGGCAACAGCAGATCCCCTAAGCCTTTTATCACCCCAGCTACAAGTTTGCATATTTTCTTTATAACCAGACAGCATACGAAATGAAGCTACTCTCTACAAGAAAATGAGGCAATTGGAATGTTAATTTTATTTGGTAATACATTGTAAAATCTAAATAGCATTATCCAGCTGATTGACAAAAATCTATCCAGCTGTTAAAGGCAAAATAAAACTATCTCAAGACCCACAGTTATAGAAGGCTAATTTTTGCCTGCAGGTAGCTATTGAGAGGAGGGGGGAAGGGAAGGAGAGGAGCAACTGTCTGGTTGATAAAATCTAGAAAGAGAGATGGGAAGGACACAGAAGCAAAGTATCATGTCATGCTTTCTCTCTTCTTCTTCAGCGAGCCTTTTATCTTCTTCCACAGGCTGTCCTTCCTCTTTAATTTCTTTTCCGTCGAGGACAGCATGGATTCCTTCCTGCGAATTTCTCTCACTAAGCCTTGAAAAGCATCATCAATACCAAATCGGAGGGCTGCAGAGGTCTCAAAGAAGGCACAGCTGTATTCTCGAGCAAGATTCATGCCTTCTTCTGTAGAGACCTAGGGAGTGAAATAAACAAATAATGTTAAAAAGAGAAGGAAAGAAAGGCTTTTCTTCAAAATATATGTTCTCCTGACTCTGGCCTCTGGGTTTCAGCTTTATGAACAAGGGTAAAATGTGAAATTTTACTGTGAAAAAGTTCTAGAAATTTCTGAATTTGAAGGATAAATGAGAAATCTGAATCCCACACAGGAAAAGTGAGTATAACTCAAAGCCAGTTCTTCAATTATCAAAACCTGCATGGTAGCTCAGTGGTCAACAGCACAGGTGTAAGTGAATTCCACTTTAAGTCGCAGCTTAACTGCTTTTAATTCTGCAAGCATAGGTAATCATAGTGATCATTTGGTGTCAGCTTCCTCTTCTTTTACACCAAAGAGCAGCGCCAATGTCACAGATAGTTTGTTAGGCTCTTGCCATCATTTATAGAGTGAGTGTGCTGGGAATATTTCAAGCTCTAAAATGATTCTTACATAATTCAGAGCTCTCATCTAACAGTACATGATGGACTTTCAAAAACAACATTCTAATGAAGGAATCAGTAAGAAAAACACTGTCACTGTGATAAATCAGCCTTTCTCCAGCTTAAAGTGTTACACATCATCTGCGGTGTTTAACATGCTATGATTTGTACTATTGCACTAAATGTTCTAGAAACTATAAATGGGCTGAAATCAGACACTTTGCCTCCTTTATCACCCCTTGAGTATCTATCACAGCTCCTGGAGAAAAACGTACCACAGGATGTAGTAGAAGAGTTTAGAGAGTGATCCACCAAATTATTTAAGGTTTGAAAAGTATTAATAGATGTGTGAACATAAATTATGCAGCTATGTTTAAACACTAGATTACTGCACTGTAGCTGGTTCTAGAATTCCTGCTCAACATTTAGATCTTCCATAAAGCCTTTCGGATTACAGTCTGTGACCCTAGTAACAAGCCTGGGATGGCTGGGAGTTCCTCCAAAACAGCTCATGTTAGATATGTGGCATAACAACAAAATAAACAAAAACTGCTCTATTGAGTTCCGGCTACAGTCTGTTCCTAATACACTGCCACTCTGATAGACAACAGGTACTCTAAAAGAGGAGATAACTTTACCTACATCCCAATGGTCAAAAAAAATGAGAAAATAAAAGGCAACAAGTTAGGTTGTATGGTCAGCTTACACCAAGGCATGGCAAGATGGAGAGGGAGCTATTGAAAAACTCCTTATAATAAATTCATAAAAATTAAAATAATAGACTGACACACTCAGTGCCATACGTCTCCAATAAAAGACAGATCGTTCAATCTGTTTTTGTTTTGTTTTCTTTCTTGCTGTCTTGTTTTTTTTTTTAAGGTTGGGAAATAACTTTATTAAGCCTTAAGAAGCTCTGCATATAATTAAATTATAGTACAGGTTTAGATACTATGTAATAATAGTTCAATTCCAAAATAAAGTTATAGGTGAAACCATGAAGTTTCCTACCACTTGATTTTAATACATGGCACTAATTTCCTAAAAGTCTGAGGAAACAATATTTACAGGTGGAAGTACTTCCGAAAATTTTATCATCAGATGTGTTAGCATGTGTGTGTGTGTGTGTGTGTGTGTGTGTGTGTGTGTGTGTGTGTGTATCTAGAATCAAAGATATGTGAGTAGGGAATGAAGGTTTTATGCTTGAACAACAGAAATAGAGTACTGAATGCTGAGACTTGGCTTTACAACTGTTTGTCAAAGTATGAGATTTGGAAAAGGAAGGTGTTGCTTGTTTAAAATTCTGAATTTTTTCTTAGGACTGAAGCCAAAATTGTAACTGCCACAGAGGAGAAGGCAGGTGGGGTGGGGGGGAGCATCCTCCACTTTGATTGTTCATCTGGGTCACAATGTTCAGTATCCCAGAGATAGCCAGCACTACAATAAGAAGGGAGTTATAGGCTATCATGAAGGACAATTAGTTGTTGCTTAATTATGCCTATTGGCCTGATCACCAGGTGTGAACTTATGGGAGTTCACAAAGGTTTCCTAGTGAGATCTGAGCTTGCTTTACCCAGAAGGGCTGCATAAGGAGATGGATTGACCATGTACATGGTTACCAGGTGTTTGGAAGCATCTGCACTTCGCTGTGCTGGGAGTGGGGAGTTCTTTTGCTCCACCCCTTGGCATTTCTATAAATATCCCTTTAGAAGAGACAGAATGGGGCTGATGGGTTTTGACCCAGGCCCTCCCGAGGCTATCCTGTGTTTCTATCTGTCTCTTTCCCCTATATTTCTATCTAAATATTTCTCACTTCTCCCTACTCAAAAGCACCCTGGGGGAAAAAGAGAGGGTAGGTCCCCCATATGAACTGAGCTGCCAGCCTAATCCTTCACCACACAAAGATATTCCTGTAATGGTTCATCACAAACCCAGCATTCTTCATCTTCATGAAAGAGCCCCATATTTCGCTGAATTCCCCTTTCCTTCTGGACTTTGTTTTTCTTCCAGTTTGTGTTTTGCTCCAGTTGCTACATAAGTGGTTTTGATTTTTAAATTGACAGAAGCAGTAGGACTCCTCACCATCCTGACTCCAACTGTCTCACTTTCGTCTGGGTGACAGGCACTTCTTGATCTGTGCACATCAGACATGTGGTGTCCTTCTATTGTACTTCAATTGATCAAAAAGACATCACGTCATTTGGAGGAAAAAAATCTCCTTAGTAATTCATGCTTCTTGCCTCCATAGAAAGGTTTAGTGTGGAAGATGATGTTTACACTATAACCTGTTTAGGGGCAATTAACATTGCATTCTCCTCTAATTCCTCTCAGGGCACTCTCAGGACAGACTTTCCATAGCCATTGAGGAATGTGAGAATGTAATGTTCACCATAGTCTAGACATGAGACATGGGGCTGATTTAGTCCAGATCTGAGCATTGAATTGTATCTTCCTGTCAAAACACTAAACATAAAAGACTGGGGTGATAGATGATGGGGACTCGCTCATTTACAAATGTTACACTGTTCGAAGAAACCCAGGGAACTGTCCCTTTTGTAGCTACTCTGTTTTCTTTAGTATCCTTGGGCAACTTCCAGTAACATGGAAAGATCTCAGGCAAAATAGAATTGAATGGCTTTGGGCCACCCACCCCTTTTCCTCCTGAGCATTCTCCCTCCCTGCCATTTCACAACCTGAACCACTAAATCCCTGGGATCCTCAAGACCCGGATGTGCAAAACATTTGCATACATTTCTAAAAGATATTTTCTTTAAAGACTAAGTGTTGGAAGAACATCTTCCTAAGGTCCATCAGAGCCAAGCTTGTGCCTGATAAAGTCCTTGTGTTTCCCCACTGGCCCCACTTACCCATTTTCATTTCTGTTGTCGTGTGAATTAAAAAAAAAAATCATCATCATTTGTTCTTTTGGACATGGAGGAATTCAGTGATTCTGAGTTGTCTGGGTGCTATAAGGCTATTTCCTGAACTGCCATATGTGAAGATGAAGGCAGATCCAGAAGAAGCTATTAAGCCCTTTGAGGATGAGCCACTTTGGTGTAATTCACCAGCATCAGAGAACATATCTTTACTGCTAGAGTAAGAGAGCTCTGGGACTGTTTTTGGAGACAAGGTGACATGGCTGAGAGAAGTTAGGCTGCTGCTAGGTGGTGACTTTCCCATGCCTGCACTACTTGATGCTGGAGTCTGGTGAAGTCCCAAAGTAGCTAACGCAGCTCCAACAAGTAGGGAAGATGGATGCTGCTCTGACTCGTATGACCAAGCGGGTTCTAAAGGTTAAGAGTCTGGGAAGCATTGTGCTAACCACAGGTTTCCAGGGACTAGGCTCGTACTTTACATCTATAGGATTAATAGCACTTACAATTCCACCATGTGCTGCTTTGCATTACTCTGGTCCTGAGCAGCCTGCAGCCGCAGAGTGCTGAGTTTAATTGACTCTAGGATGCTACTTGCTGTGTCCTTAAGGGTTTCCACATTCTTTCTCTGTTTGTCATCTTTACAATTTGAAATTTGGCATCAAAAATCTATCAAAATTTTAGATAATGTTTAGCAGCCATGCCAAAATGGACAGGGGGAAGCCCAGAAGGCTTCAACTCATGAATTTGAAAAGAGAGCAAGGAAAGAGAAGGGGGAAATGATGCAATTATACTTTTAAAAATTTAAACAATTATTTTAAAAAATTAAAGAAGATTTTTACAAAAAAGTAATAGGTAAGCATAAGACTCTATAAGCTTCTTATCAAAATCTTGGGCACTAAGAACAAGACCTGATTACAAATGTCTTTAAGCTGCCTGCAAGAGAGCCCCTCTCCCCACCCCTTACACACAGGAGAGCCCCTTCTCCCCACCCCTTACACACAGGAGAGCCCCTTCTCCCCACCCCTTACACACAGGAGAGCCCCTTCTCCCCACCCCTTACACACAGGAGGGCCCCTTTCCCCATCTCTAACTGTCCTCTTCAGGCATATACTCCAGCCGGGGGTACAGTACCTGGGATACCTGCTCCCCATGTTTTCTTTTCTTTTTTATATAAACTTTATTATTTAAAAAAAGCTTACCAATTAACAAAACATCACACACCAAAATTAACTGGACTCAAAGTGTATATAAGTTAACAAATACCTTCTACACAATTAGAATAAACATTTGGAATGAAAGCCATGGAACTTCACATTAAATTATACATTAGCAGTATCAAATATGTTTTGTGAACATATTTTCTGTTTTCTTTAATCTCCTGCATGTGCAATACATTGCAATGAACGAGATTTAAATTTATACAAAAAAGCTGATATGACATAAACATCAGATAAAGTGGACACTATATAAAAGAATATTACTAGACTATAAGGAAAACGTTTTATAATGATAAAAATCAATCCACTGGAAGGATAATATATGTATAAACTTGTTTCAACTAAAAAAAATAACTTCAGTTTATAAGAAGAAAGAGCTGACATTACTAAAATCCGCAATGTTACTTGAGATTCTTAACATACAGCTCTTGGCAGTTGAAAGAACAAGA